CCATAGCCGCGTACTTTCATCGAACTGTATGTGTTTTAGCGTTACAGAAAAATCAATACTACCTTTTAATTAAAAAAAAAACTGGTTTACCCTGAGCTTAAAAGAAAACCAAACAAAGAAACTGATAAGTACTGAGTTCTGTCTTTTAAGTGGAGACAAAAAACTTGGGCTGCAGATATGAGCTATGATTTACAATCCAGTAGCTTATTTTGCTGTATAAAGCTTAACTCAAACAACGCGGCTTTGTTTGTAAGACTTGGAAAACTTAACCATAAATATTATCCATACACCAAATCAAACAAAAATTGAAGAACCAGTTAACATCAGTATCACAACATGGTCCCGAGCTCATTTTTTGTTGAACGCGATTTAATAATAATAATAAAAAAAACACATTGCGTGGGCTTCACTCAAGTGACGTTGGTGTTTCCTGAGCCACTAGCTAAGCCGAACGTGTTATATAACAGGAGAAAGTTGCAAGATTCGGAAGTGACAGAAAAACAGACTCACGCTGCTACAGCAGGACTCCAGCCTCTTTGTCATTGGACCACGCTTTGTTGGGGACAAACTGAACGCTCTTGCTTCACACCTAGACAGGCGGTACTGTCACTCCTAACGTTGAAAGCTGCTAAACCCCTTCTGGATTCAGTATGAGACCCTCGAGTCTACTTAAAGTAGTGTTCGCTCTTCTCTTTGCTACTGCAGGTAAGTCGTAGTCAAACAAGAAACAAATCATGTTACGATTTACTGTTGTTTCGTTCCAACTTTACTGATATCAATCACTGGTATATGGTCATTTTGTCAGGAGAAATTATCATAACATACTCTCTTAGTTTCAAACACACACACACATAAACACAAAGTTTTCATTAATACAAATTTGTTACTATAGCAAACACTGTTAATTTTAACGACCAAAACATGTTGTTAGTTTGTTAGACTTTATTTTTCGTAATTCAACGTTTTATACACGCCAGGGTAACTGAATTACTGCGCAAATAATGGAATACTTTAGAGTCTAAAATAAAATATGTTTTAAGTAGCTGGCAAAACGTTCAGTCCTGATGAAAAGTTTCCTATAATGAAGTCATTTAATTAAACACTTAATTCAGTGTGTTTGCTTTTATTACCGATAGGGTAAATAGCTTGCTAAATATTGTTTTCTCGAATACACCATACTAAAGAAAATTGAGAAAAAAATGGCATTTTTAGTTGGTTGTTGTTAAGCACAAAGCTACACAATTGTCTATCTGTGCTCTGCCCACCACGGGTATCAAAATCCGATGTTTAGAATATTAAGCCAGCAGATTTACAACTGAGCCACTGGGGGGCAGTAAATAAGCAAAATATACAACTTATGTAAAACTGTTATTCATTGATAAAAAAAATAGTATGATTATAAACACTTTGCTAGTATTACCTTGTGGGAAGACCCTATCATAAGTGACTCATGGGAATCACAGTTTTTACTAATAAAATGCAAGGTGCTGACACCTAGTTTTTTTATAAGTTAGACAAATAAATTTTAAAAATATTGATATGATGTTAAATGTCTTCTTCAATTCAAAAAACAAGTTATTTGTGTTATTTGCAATATTTGGAATCTAAGATTATAAAATATCGTATTCAAAAAAGAAATATGAGTTAGTAAAAAAGAAAACTGATACAATTAAAACCTCGTAATTTATTTATTTTAACAAATTTGTTTCTTAATGAAATACTTTCATTAATTTTTTTATCACATGATGCAGAAACATTATATGGCAAAACGCTGCTCTTTGTTTCACCACAAATTAACTTTCCGCTATCTCAGCTGTAAGCTTGAGAGCTTATACTGCCAAAGCTCGAAGTTCGATCCCTGCGTTGGGCACATCGCAGATAGCCTACTGTGTAGCTTTGCGCATAACAAATCAAACAAACCCATAAATTACACGTTTGGACCAGAATAACACTTTACAGTCTTCAAATAAATCATTATTTGATTAGGTGTTTTTAGTATAGATGGCGCTAAAAGAATGCAAATGATTACGTAGTTATAAAAGTTCAACTTTCCTTCCTGAAGATGGTGGCGTAAGAACGCCGAAACATATAGAGTCTTTTTTTTATGACTGGTCCTTGTTTTTAGTAAATTATTTATTGTTTAATTATTTTAGCGTTGTAATCCTTTTAATTGTATATATATATATTACAATGGTCGTTTTGAATTATTTAACCCTAACTGGAGTTATAGAAATAAGTTATCTTTGATGACTCCACTTCATAAGAAATGTCACTTACGGAATTAGTAAGTTCTCAAGGAATAAGATATAACTGTCTGGTCACTAAAGAGTTCACTTTGACTTTTGTCATATGTTGACCAAAATGAGTTGAAAAATTATTGTATGGTGGCTTCTGTCTCTTAGTGGTGAATTTATAAATGTATTCATTTCAGTCGAGCTGTTTTCTGATGTTTATAGGTTCTTATATTTCAGACTAAAATATGCCGGCAAAGCATCGCGTTTGCAAAGCTTCTATAGTGAGATGAAGCACAAAGTAAAATTAGGGTACGAAAATTAATTATAAATTTCGCGCTAGGCTACTCGAGGGCTATAGCAGATAGCCCTCCCTAATTTTAATATGATAGACTAAAGGGAGTGAAGAGAGTCTAAACTACCCACCGCAAACTCTTAGGCCACTCTTTACTAACGAATAGTGGGATTGACCGTCAAATTATAACGTCCCAACGACTCAAACGCTGAGCATATTCTGTGACGGGTTTCTATCCCGCGGCCCACAGATTGCCCTAACTACGAGGCCATGCAAGGTCTTCAATATCTACAGTTAAGCTTTTCATTTGGTTGTTTAGAGTTTACGCGCAAAGCCACACAAGTACTTTCTGTGGCTTGTTGTCCGTCCCTAATTATGAACTTGTAGACTAGAGTGAAGGCGGTTAAATAGCAGCACCAGGTCACGTCCGGCAGAAAGGTAAGAATCTAGAACACTGACCGTGCTTCTCCCGGTGAGACAGCGGTAAGTCTTCGGATTTTACAACACTAATGCAGTAAGATTAATATATATATACATGTAGGATTTTGTGTGTGGGGGATGTTATCAAACCCCACAAATATTGTAGTTAAGCACAAGCGTACACAATGGGCTATCCGTGCTGTGCCCACCACCTGGTTTTTAGTGTTATAAACCTTTAGACTTACCGCTGAGCTAGTGTGTAGGTGATTGGGGAGGGCACCACAGATAATATTTATCGATCCGCCAATACTTATTTATATGACATTTAATTTTAAAACATTACTGTTTTCTCTCTCTCTCTCTCTTCTTTATTAAACAGGAAACGTTGCGCCGGACTTGAAATGAACCTCTTCGTATACTTTAAATTCTAAAAAAAAAAATATTAGAGCCTTACAACCTGCGAGAACATTTGCTGATTCAGTCTGAAACATTTTCTGGTGATTATCCGCAAAGTACGTTAACTTGTGATAATTATCAGGCCAGTTGTGGTGTGTAATTTTTTAATATTTATTCGAACTACTTTATTAAACTAAATACGAAGTTCTTGGATCATACTAACAGATCTCCTTAGCATTTACCGAGATGTTAAACTTTAGATGTTCCACTTAAAAAAAAAAAAATGGAAAGAATCAAAGATAAAATTAACTTGCCGATTTAAAAATGCTGAAAAAAATTATAAGTATCGTTACAAGCTTATGATACACCTAATGAAACTTTCTATACATCGTAATACACTTTATATTGGTGTTGTTGGTTTTTACAGCAGGACCAAAGGGTTGGTTTGGTTTGTTTTGAATTTCGCGCAAAGCTACACGAGGGCTATCTGCGCTAGCCGTCC